TGAGCTGCTTCACTGTGAGCCTTTTGCAGTTGCAGAGCTTGGGAGCATCCAGGTTGCGCATTAGCAATATGGGCGCGCCGACCTTGAGCACCAAGTTGTGTGGTGGCAGACCTGAAGGCGCCAGGCTGTTGAGAAACTCGGTCGGATAGTGCATGACCTGGTAAGGATCAGGAACTGTGTCCATCGACTTGTAGCTCGTTGGGTCGCCAGGCAGTTGCTCCAGCAGCTTGGCGTTGATGTCATCCATGGCCAAATTTTTGGGAGCAAGGATGGCTCACTCGCTGAGCCAGTCTTGGTCTTGGTAGCGGAGGTGGAGGTTTGGGAAGACTTTGGTCATCAGCTGGGTGATGTCCGCTGCTGCGTTGCTGAATGGCAGCTTGACTTGACCATCAGCTGTGGTGGTGAGTCTGCTATTGCCGACCTCCAGCAGTTGCTGAGAGAAGCGGCCAGCTTTTTCATCGCCGCTGAGCTGCACCCTCATGTTGGTCTTCAGGCTGTGGCGGTTCACCTCGCTCCAGAGGTACGACGACTTGATGCAGGCATTGGCAGCATCTGCTCTTGTTCCTTTGGCGATGACTGCCAAGGTTTGGCGAAAGTCGCCTGAGAGCAGGACAGTCACACCTCCAATGACGTTTGTGTTGTGCCGAAGGTCTTGTAGGGTGTTGTCGAGTGCTTCAAAGGCGCCTTTGTGGCTCATTGGTTGCCTCGTCCCAGATGATGAGCTTGCACTCTTGGAACAGCTTGGCCTTTGTGAAGCCACCGCTGATGTTGCAGGTTGGATTTTGCCGCTTTGCCAGGTTGAATGGCAGCTTGAAGGCCGAGTGAGCAGTGCGCCCTCTGTCCAGCAGGGTGGCAGCAATGCCGCTTGAAGCAACTGCCAGGGCAATCTTCCTCGTCTGCCTGACCTTGGCCAGAAGAAGGTTGGTAACGAAGGTCTTGCCTGTTCCGCCAGGAACGTCGAGGAAGAAGAGGCCGCTACGTTGTTTTTTTTTGGTCAAATTTTTTGGTCAAATTTGTTTGGCCTAAAATGGTCGTCGCGTCATGCTGATTCAGAATATATATGGTGTTGGGGTCACCTCTTACGGAGGGGGGGGGAGAAGATAGACAGATAGACCGAAAAACAGACTCGCCCTTTATGTAAGAGATTATAATATATATTATAGAGATCAGTGGCCCCCGTCCGTCGGGGAATATTTTGTGTAAACTGCGCATGCCCAGAACAGTATAGGCACAGAGCAAGTTAGAGCAGCCATACTGGAATCACGTTGGCGGCCATCTTGCCGTGTGGATGACGTCACTGTGCCATGGTAGATACATGGTCTGGAGAAGACTTGTGGTACACAGTGTGTGAGCATTTTGGGGGATCGAGTAGCTAGTTTAGGTGACATGTAATCGTGTAGGGACATAACTTATACATTTCGACGTGCGTTAGGCTATAATTTAATGCTACATGATTAAGCAGTGTGGACCGGGGCATATAGACCGGTGCATATGACTTTCTATGCGTAGGTATTCTAAGTATCAGTGTTTGTCGGATACGCACATTTATAATGGCAACATGAAATGTTTTCTTTCAATAAATCGGTGATAATTCACAACGGTGGTCTCTAGCTGCAGACATGGTTTTATTGCCTCATTATATTCTTTCTTTGTTTTTTGTTTCATGTTGTCGTGAATAATCGGATCTAGGCCTATACAGCACCATCAACATTTTGCTCGATTAACATTGAATACTTTATTTTGTATGTAAAATACATATAACCAAGAGCTAATAATACCGTAAGCCCCTGGTTTCCCAACCGGGGGTACTAGTACCCTGCGGGTTACCAGCGCGACACCACAGGGTGTACTGGGGAAGCCTCTTTAGCACAATTTAAAAAAAAAGTGTAGTGCTATATAATAATCAGCGGGTGACTCACGCATCTCTATCTACAGTGCCAAATCCAAATCATGAGCCTACTCTACAACGACGAACCTTAACTCGATGTTAGCTTAACCTTTCGCCAGTCGATCGAGTTTTGGGTAGCTAATTCGAGTTATTAGGCCGTGTAAGACTTTGCTTATACTCGATGTTAGCTTAACCTCGCGGATAGGCTCGGCAGCACGTAGTACGATGTTACATTACACACGCACGTCCACGGCGCGCCCGTGCTACTGTGCACCACGCATGCAGGCACGCACGCACGTCCTTACGTGCACATTGCACATGCGCGCCACGCCACGCACGCTCGAACGTGTGGTGTACCTGCACACGAGCGCACGCACGCCGCATGTGTACGTGCACGACGCTACGCATGCAGCGAACGTGTACGTGCACATAGGCACTCAGATGCACGCAGTGTACGTGCACACGCTACGCACGCACGCACGCAGCTACGCACGCACGTCTACATGCACATGCGATTGC